GTCCACCACATCATCCTGGGCCGGGCCTAGGCCCTTCCCCATGTGTCCAAGCCAAGAGTGCATCCCTTCATGTGGGATGGACTCTCAAAGCCCCTTCTTATGCCAGGGAAAAATACTAATCCACTACCAGGGGCCCCCTAGAGTGCAGAGGACTCCTCATTGATATCCATGTTCAGGGGTCTGGATCAGTCCTGTACTGGCCTCCCAGACAGCATCTGGGGTCGATGTGTTCCCCTTTGTTCAGGCCAGCTGATTCTTTGGGTTTCACCAGCCTGGTACCGACCCCTTCAATTTTCATTCCTCCCTCTCTGCAACTAAGTTCCAGCGTACAGTTCAGTGAATATCTTTGGATGTCTGCCTCTGCTTCCATCAGCCACTGGATGAGGGCTCTAGGGTGGCACAAAAATTAGTCATCAATCTCATTTTAGGGGAAGGGCATTTAGCTTATCCTCTCGTTTCTTTGGTGAAGAGGATTGTAAGCTGGTAATCCTTTGCTCTATGTCTAAAATTCATATATGAGTGAGTACATATCATGTTTGTCTTTTTGTGACTGGGTTACCTCACTCAGATGGTTTCTTCTAGTTCCATCCATTTGCCTGCGAATTTCAAGATTCCATTGCTTTTTTCTGCTGAGTAGTACTCCATTGTATAAATGTACCACATTTTCTCTATCCATTCTTCAGTTGAGGGGCATCCGGGTTGCTTCCAAGTTCTGGCTATTACAAACAATGCTGCCATGAACATGGTTGAACATATGTGCTTGTTGTATGAACATGCATTATTTGGGTATATGCCCAAAAGAGGAATTGCTGGATCTTGAGGTAGAATGATTCCCATTTTTCTGAGCCACCGCCATACCGATTTCCAAAATGGTCTTACAAGTTCGCACTCCCACCAGCAATGGAGAAGTGTTCCTTTTTCTCCACATCTTCTCCCGCATAGATTGTCGTTGGGGTTTTTTATTTTAGCCATTCTGACAGGGGTGGGGTGGGATCTCAGGGTTGTTTTGATTTGCATTTACCTGATGGCCAAGGATTTTGAGTACTTCCTTAAGTGTCTTTCAGCCATTTCAGATTCCTCTGTTGAAAATTCTCTATTTAGTTCTGCACCCCACTTTTTAATTTCCTTGTTTGGGTTTTGGTGGCTAGCTTCTTGAGTTCATTGTATATTTTGGAGATCAGCCCCCTGTCAGATGTGGATTCGGTGAAGATCTTTTCCCATTCTGTGGGCTGTCATTTTTGTATTACTGACTGTGTCCTTTGCCTTACAGAAGCTTCTCAGTTTCATGAGGTCCTTTTTTTTTTTTTTTTTTTGGTTTTTCAAGACAGGTTTCTCTGTGTAGCTTTAGAACCTATACTGGCACTTGCTCTGGAGACCAGGCTGGCTTCGAACTCACAGAGATCCACTTGCCTCTGCCTCCCAAGTGCTAGGATTAAAGGTGTACACCACCAACGCCCGGCCAGGAGGTTCCATTTATTAATTGAAGATCTCAATGTCTGTGCTACTGGTGTAATGTTCAGGAAGCAGTCTCCTGTGCCAATTCACTCAAGGTATCTCCTACTTTCTCTTCTAGAAGATTCAGTGTGGCTAGATTTATTGTGAAATCTTTGATCCATTTGCACTTAAGTTTTGTGCATGGTGACAGATATGGATCTATCTGCAATCTTCCACATGTGTGAATCCAGTTGTGTCAGCACCATTTGTTGAAAATGCTATCTTCCTTCCATTGTATAGCTTTAGCATCTTTGTCAAAAATAAGGTATTCATAGGTGCGTGGGTTAATATCAGGGTTTTCAATTTGATTCCATTGGTCTGTCTATTTTTGTGCCAAAACCAAGCTGTTTTCAGAACTATGGCTCTATAATAGTCAGGGATGGTGATGCCTCCAGAAGATCCTTTATTGTACAGAGTTGTTTTGGCTATCCTGGGTTTTTTGTTTTTCCATATAATGTTGAGTATTGTTCTTTCAAGGTCTGTGAAGAACTGTGTTGGGATTTTGATGGAGATTGTGTTGACTCTGTAGATTACTTTTGGCAGGATTACCATTTTTACTATGTTGATTCTACCTATCCAAGAGCATGGGAGATCTTTCCATTTTCTGGTATCTTCTTTAATTTCTTTTTCTAAAGACTTAAAGTTCTTACTGTACAGGTCTTTCACTTTTTTGGTTAGCGATACCCCAAGATATTTTGTTATTTGTGGATATTGTGAAGGTTGATGTTTCTCTGATTTCTTTCTCATTGGATTTATGGCTACAGATTTTTTTGAGTTAATCTTGTATCCTGACATTTTGCTGAAGATGTTTATCAGCTGTAGGAGTTTCCTTGTTGAGTTTTTCGGGTCACTGATGTAGACTATCATATCGTCTGCAAATAGTGAGAGTTTGACTTCTTCCTTTCCAATTTGTATCCCTTTGATCTCCTTTTGTTGTCTTATTGCTCTAGCTAGAACTTCAAGGACAATATTGAAGAGATATGGAGAGAGTGGACAGCCTTGTCTTGTTCCTGATTTTAGAGGAAATGCTTTGAGTTTCTCTCCATTTAGTTTGATGTTGGCTGTTGGTTTGTTTTGTTTTGTGCCAGGATTTCATGTAGCCCAGGATAGCCTCCAACTCCCAAGTAGCAGAATATGACCTTGAACTCCTGATCTTAGGCCTCCACCCCCAAATCCTGGGATTACCAGCATGCATCACCGTGCCTGCAGCTCACCTAGCACTTACTGTTCTACTTGATTATTGGATTCTCATTGATATTTGTACATCAGTAAAAGAATGCCCCCATTTGCCAATGACAATTTTCCATGAAAATAACAATGTACAGTTTTTTAAATTTTAAAATAATTTTAACATGCATTTGCCTGTGTTTCATCTGTGGGAGGGTGTCAGATGCCCTGGATTACAGATGGTTGTGAGCTTCCATGTGGGTGCTGGGACTTGAACCTTGGTCCTTTGGAAAAGCAGCCTGTGCTCTTAACCTCTGAAATACCTCTCCAGCCTCCATTATGTGCATGTTTTATAACCTCTAGTTGCACTTGAGTTTGGCAAAGTTACAGGATATGAGACTAACATTAAAAAATGATCATATAAACATGTAATTTAGAATACTACTTAGAATTCCCAAATAAATGGAGCATGCATAAGTCTAACATGCACAGGACTCAGAGCAGAAAACTAGAAAATGTTGCTGAAAAAAATCAAGAAAGCTCTAAATAAACGTGGAAGCCTGCTCATTCTGTGGGAGACAAAACACAGTAAAGGTGCCAGCTCCTTCCAGGTTTAACTACATTGTATGCCTTTTTTTGTGTGACAGATATTTCTATTTATTTATTTATTTATTTATTTATTTATTGTGTTTTTCAAGACAGAGTTTCTCTATGAAGCTTTGGAGCCTTTCCTGGCACTTGCTCTGTAGACCAGGCTGGCCTTGAACACACACAGATCTGCCTGCTCTCCCTCCCGAGTGCTGGGATTAAAAGCGTGTGCCACCAACGCTTGACCCCCTCCCAGGTTTAATACAGACTAATTTAGTTCAATTTGAAAACATTATTCTGAAATTTATAGGAAAATGCAAAGAAATGGCTTAAATAATTTTGAAAGAAAGTAACAGAGGGGGAGAAATTAAGTGTATACAGTTCCAAGCATGGTGGCAGTAGTAATTAAGACTCACACATACACACATCTGATGGTCAATAAAATTGTCAAACATGTCATTTTGTAGTATTCCTAACACACACACACACACACACACACACAGTTCAACAATGGTTGATCTGAGTAAGGTACATGAAGAGGTACTACATAACTTAAAAGATAACACAATTTCCTCTTTTGATAACAAATTTTGGTGAGAAAAAAGCCACGCCTTATATTTAGGCACACAATTATGCACCAGTTCACAGCAGGCAGGAACTGTGCCACTAGGGGACTTTGTCACATAAACATTAAAGTAGACTCAACATAACTGGGGAGGCTACAATATCACCAAGGTCCTAATTTTCTAGAACACTGTTGTGTATATATCCCATCAATGACTGGAATGTTGTTATGAGGAGTTAGCTATAATTAATAGACTATATGAGTATTGGCTGAGAGGGTTATGATAATCATTAGTAAGTTATGAGTTTTTATTGCCTAATAGTGTCTTTAGTTCATACTGGAAAATCCTGGGTGCAGAGACACACTGAGAGCCTTGGGAGGATTCTAATGGAAACTGAAAAGACACTTGAGCAATGGAATGAATTCTAGTCACATGTCCCATCATTCTGAGTTTAATCCTAAGGCTAATACCCAATGAATTCAGAAACTCTTCCCACAAAGGCCCTGGACAAAGCAGAGAACTCCTACAAGCACCAGGAAGTCTATGCCATTG